AGAGTATTCACAGATGAATCCATTCGAAATGAGGGCGGAGTATGTTTGTCATAAAATCGGAAGAAGTACTAATATAACGCAGCAGCATTCATAGATGGTGAAGCGTTGGCTTTTAATCAATAAGTGTTTTCCGTCATCGTCATACTTCTCGAGGATAAGGGTAACGGGACCTGTGAAAGGGAGGAAATTTGAGACCTTGAATTTATGAGCAAACGTCTGCCGCAAGACCAGTAAATTCACCACATCATTTCTTACAGGCACGTTTCTTTCCGTAAGGTTTGGTGCATAATTATGTTGCTTTTAAATACGTTCGACCACGTGAAATAGATTCGCAACTCTTATAAGAGAATGGGAAAATCAAATAATTTTATGATTTCGCTCATTACCTGCAACGTATGCAAAATCGAGCATCACTATGCAGGGGTTATGCGGCAACTTTCTTGCCGGTTTCTTTTACCAATTTTATTTAATGAACGTTTTTAAAGTTCTTGCTGATGTACACATTGGCTCGCGTCATGGAAGGAGCAAATTTGCCCAATGATGGTGAAAACGAGAGTGACTAAGTTGATTTCTGTGGTTGTTATGATGATATTACTGTTTCCAACATCAATCCAACTTTGGCTTATCACTCCTGAGAGCAGGAAACTAACAATGTGGGTCGATCGGTCCAAAACAAACGGTGAAATCGTAACCTTGGCGGACTGAGTAAATGTGAAATTTATTTTTTAAGGTGCCAGTGATACTTTCCAAAGATATTAAAACTGGTTTAGGACTGAAGATTACAAATATTAGTTCATTAACAGAAAATTTTTTATTGGATTATTTAAATGGTTTAGTTCGGATTCAGGAAGTGAGCAACTACATTTAAATCAGGATCAAAATCTGCAAAGATTGAACACTTCTAGTTGGGGAACCAACTGTTGTTGGATTCAAGCGGCATGTAGTCGTCCGCCTTTTTTTGAATGACGAACTTTGTTTTCTGGCGGTGTATATGAGCATAACGCGAAAAACATTCCTTTATTTTCCTCTACATTGTGCGTCAGAATCTCGATAAATTTTATGCACATACTGGTTGTCGGCCTTACCTAATTAAATAACAACTCGCAAAAATTATAATTAGCAATTTCTTACCTATAACCGCCGAACTGGGGCTAGTTAGTGGTCATGTAAAGTATGTGTTGTGGTTGTGGAAGAATGCAGCAGTCGATGGGAATCTATAGATGGCTTTGTACAGTTTCCCCGTTACACACCGGTGCTTTTCATAGATGCCCACTAATGCATTGACATGTTAACCCGCTGGTGTTAATCATTGGGATGTTGGATGAGGCTTTAGTTGCATTGATGCAGGATTTGTTTAAGCCTGGCACGAGAGGTGATGAAACTGATGTCGTTGGCCATTGCTGTATGTCGAAAAAGTTAGAGTTGTTGCATCGGGGGCGTTGCTTATGTGTTAAGTTGGAAGAGTAGAGTCCATTATCCATGAAACCTGTTCAACGCAGGTAAAGGCATCTGTGGTCGTGAATTTTGCCGACAGAGTGGGAGTAAATAACTGTATTCATTACCAATGAAAGATTGGCGAAAATTCTATCACGCTATACCACACAATTAGCATTATATTTTAACAGATCATAAGATAACGGAAATTTTTGTTTGCAGTGTTTGTGTCTAAATTATTATAAAGCTGCCTTTTAATCAAATTGTTAAAAAAAGTTTAAAATGAGACGGAATTATGGCGAAATCCGGCATTGGGAGAGCTGCAGAGTTCCAGTGATGTTTACTTAAGTAATTTCAACAATGACCGACATGTTGTAGAATGCGCAGGATAAACTTCTACATCAAGTTTGTACGGTAGGGTCTTGTTCCATCATCTCGTTTAAAGTGTAGTTTCGTTGATAGTGCCTACTTCCGGTGAAATGAATTCGTTTAACTAAAATTTGCTTGATACCGAAAGTATAAGGCAGTCGTTTCTTAAAATAGGTATGCAGTCGCTTACTCTATTTTGGAACTTTGCAAATCCCTTGTTTATATTTTGTAAATGTTGGTTCCGCATTGTTAGCAATTATTTAATAGCATAAATTTTCCTGTCAAAAGTATACTGTTTAATTCAAGAGTTTTTTCTTTCATTGTACAGTTATACCGCGTTACCCTTGGTTCATTTCAATAAGAAAGCTTTAGGTGCGATCGGTTCAGAATTCCTAGTATACCGTGAAATAAGCGTGTTCGTTTGAAGCCAGCTTAGAATCGCTATTGGCGATTGCTTTCTTATTTCTTTTAGTTTTTCTGGTTTGTCAGTAAAGCTTCAAGTATTCTTTTATATATGTTACGCTGTGGCATTGGAGATATTGCGAAGAGGCGTTTATCGCATTCGTTTGAATAGGCAAATTCTGCTAGTTTGCTCGATTGTTTTTAACAGAATATCAGTATATATTCGGAAGATATTACAGATGTCAATCTGAACTGTTTATGAGACAGTTACTGGAAAATTATACAGCATCTTTGTCAACATTCTCTGCCTGATGCTCCTGGATAACAATCTTCTA